TATTTTGTGGTAATTATGTTGAGTATTGCCCAACAAATTGCTTATCACTGACCTGAAGAATATAACTTCTACTTATGATCGTCACGAATTGAATTATAATCAAATTGCTTTGGGTCGCTTACCAATGTCAGTAATTGATGATTACAAAATTGAACAATTTCGAATTTACCTCAAATAAACAAATAACAAAACCTCTAAATTCGATTCGAAAAAAATTCCGAATACGAAGGCTTAGTTCGGATCTAAAAGAATAAGATTTTTGCTTGGTCAATTCAAACTAGTGGTTGCTTAATGAGACCTCCTAGCTAATTTAGATTGAAAACAAAATGATTTCTATATTATAATAGTAATGGTTTCAAAGTAGATAAAATGATATCAAAAACAGATAGTTTAAACTACTCTTTCGATGAACAAAGAATTGATAGTGGTCCAAATAAAATAAAAGCATCTACGTCAATTCATACCATTACAATTCTCATTCAATTAACAATTAAGAAGTATCATAAAAAATAGAAAACTTGTTTTTTCCTGGTCAGGTCAATAAAGTCATGAAATTCTTCGTTTTTGATTTTTTTATAAAAACTGATTATCTGAACCAATACATGATTTTCTTTTTAGTCTTTTCAGGATCGGGTCTTATATTAGGGGGTCTAGGTGGTATTACTTCCCAATCCAATTTATTCTGCCTTTTCCTTGGGATTGGTTCTGTTTGTACATCGTTATTCTCATATTCTATCTAATCCCTATTTTAGAAAAGTGTTGCGCAGCTACTTATTTACGTAGGAGCTTACAAATGTTTTAATCATTTTGCCGTGATGTTCATGAATGGTTCAGAATATTACAAAATTTTCATCTTTGGACCGTAGGAGAAGGAATTATCAAGGTTTGTATAAGCTCCTTTTTATTTCACTAATTACTACTATTTCAGATACGTCATGGTACGGGATTATTTGGACTACAAGATCAAACCAGATTATAGAGCAAGATTTTCTCAGTAATAGTCAACAAATTGGAATTAATTTATCAACAGATTTTTCTTCCATTTGAACTTATTTCAATAATACTTTTCTGTTGCTTTAATAGGTGCAATTGCTGTAGCTCGTCAAAAAATTTCTATTAAAACTTGAATTCAAATAAAATTTTGTTCTGGCTTATCACATCCATTTTCCTTCACCCTATTTGAATTCCAGCTGATAAATAGAAAGACTTTAGGGTCAATCTAGTACCAATATATTTCTTGTTCCATACTTGTTATATACTAGTCAATTAACTTGGTTGAATTGTTGTTCATATTGAAAGGGGTCGAGATTGATAAGGAGTTGCGAATGATTCCCGAACATGTACTTGTTTTGAGTGCCTATTTATTTTCTATCGGTATCTATGGATTAATCACAAGTAGAAATATGGTTAGAGCCCTTATGTGTCTTGAACTTATATTGAATGCGGTTAATATAAATTTTGTAACATTTTCTGATTTTTTTGATAATCGTCAATTAAAAGGAGACATTTTTCTCAATTTTTGTTATAGCTATTGCAGTTACAAGCACCATTGGACTGGCTATTGTTTCATCAATTTACCGTAACAGAAAATCAACTCGTATCAACCAATCCAATTTGTTGAATAATTAGTATTAATCATCTAGATTCTAATATTGATAAATCGATTTTAATTAGCATGTTTGCTACGTAAGGGCGATCTTGTTTGCAAAACATAAGAAATCAAAGTATTTTGGCCTCTCATATCTCCTAAAACCAATGCAGAAGGGGGTTGATTAGAAAATTTTGATAACTCATTCGTCTGGTATCTAAATATATGATTCGTTTCTAAGTTTACTAGATCGAAAATTTCTAACATTCAAAACGTATAGGACCCAATGTCACATTCAGTAAAGATTTATGATACGTGTATAGGATGTACTCAATGTGTATGAGCCTGTCCCACTGATGTATGGAAATGATACCTGGGACGGTTGTAAGGCCAAACAAACGTTTCTGCTCCACGAACAGAGGACTGTGTTGGTTGTAGAGAGATGCGAATCCGCCTGTCCAACGGATTCTTGAGTGTCCGAGCGCTTATTTATGGCATGAAACAATCCCTGCAGTATGGGTCTAGCTTATTGATACGTTCGAGAAACTCTACTTGAATCCATTTAATTTTTTTACTGACAAACCTGTGCTCGAAAATAAAAAAATTTTTGAGCACGGGCTTTTTTGGTCCAAGTGTATCTTGTCTTTACTACGAATGATTTTCCTTGGTTAACAATTGTAGTTTTTCCGATATTTGTGGTTCTTTTTTAATTTTTCTTTCTTCCCCAGAAAGGAAATAGGATAATTAGGTGGTATACCATATGTATATGTATTTTAGAACCTCTTCAACGACTTATGCATTTTGTTATCATTTCAATCGGATGATCCATTAATCCAACTAGTGGAGGACATAAATGGATCGATTTTTTGATTTCCATTGGAGATTAGGAATAGATGGACTTTCTATAGGACCCATTTTATTAGCAGGATTTATCACTACTTTAGCGACTTTAGCGGCTTGGCCGGTTACTCGAGTATCTCGATTATTCCATTTTCTCATGTTAGTAATGTACAGTGGTCAAATTGACTCATTTTCGCTCTCGGGACCTTTTTTACTTTTTTTCATCATGGGAGTTAGGAATTAATTCCTGCTTATCTACTTCTAGCCATGTGGGGAGGAAAGAAACGTCTGTACTCAGCTACAAAATTTATTTTGCACACGGCGGGGGTTCTGTTTTTCTCTTAATGGGAGTTTTGGTGTTGCTTTATATGGTTCTAATGAACCAACATTAAATTTTGAAACATCAGTTAATCAGTCATATCCTGTGGTTTTAGAAATAATCTTCTATATTGGATTTTTTATTGCTTTTGCTGTCAAATTGCCCATTATCCCCTACACACATGGTTACCAGATACCCATGGAGAAGCACATTACAGTACTTGTATGCTTCTAGCCGGAATCTTATTAAAAATTGGGAGCAGTATGGATTAATTCGAATCAATATGGAATTATTACCTCACGCCCATTCTATATTTTCTCCTTGGTTGATGATAATCGGTACAATCCAAATAATCTATGCAGCTTCAACATCTCTTGGCCAACGGAATTTGAAAAAAAGAATAGCCTATTCCTCTGTCTCTCATATGGGTTTCATAATTATAGGAATTAGTTCTCTAACCGATACGGGACCTCCACGGAGCCTTTTACAAATAATCTCTCATGGATTTATTGGTGCGGCAATTTTTCTTGGCGGGATCGACTTATGATAGAATCCGCCTTGTTTATCTTAATGAAATGGGCGGAATAGCTATTCCAATGCCAAAAAATGTTCACGATGTTCAGTAGCTTTTCGATGGCTTCCCTTGCATTACCAGGTATGAGTGGTTTTGTTGCCGAATTGATAGTATTTTTTGGAATACCAATGGTCAAAATATCTTTTAATCTTCCAAACTACTAATTACTTTTGTAATGGCAATTGGAATGATATTAACTCATATTTATTCATTATCTATGTCACGCCAGATGTTCTATGGATACAAGCTATTTAATGCCCTGAAGGATCTTTTTTGATTCTGACCGCGAGAGTTATTTCTTTCGATCTCCATCTTTTTACCCGTAATAGGTATTGGTATATACCCCGATTTCGTTCTTTCATTAGCAGTTGACAAGTCGAAGTTATTGTATCAAATTTTTTTTATAGATAATTTGGATGACTGAAATAAAAAAACCTATGTTTGTTTTTAAAAACATTCTAGGACAATGAAAAAAGAAGACTTTATTGTCTTCTCTTAACTCTTAAGTTAAGTAAAAACAATGAAATTGAACTACATATGGTAGAAAACCGTGTGAATCATCAATACAATATTTGATTCACACGGTCCGCATGCTGGTTCATACAATGCGCCGCGCGCTCTGTATTTGTAATAACTTGTCTTGAATTCAATTAAATGTTGATGGAAAAGAACCATAACTATGTAACCCTATTCCTAATAGATTGACCCCAAATAGCATATCCAAATTATAAGAAAGCCTATAGACGCTACAATTGCAGAATTTGCACCCTGCAAATTTCTATTTGTTCGAGTATGTAACAAATTGCAAACACGATCCAAGTAATAAATGCCCGAAGTTTTTGGGTCCCAATTCCAATACGACCCTCTACGCTTCATTAGCCCATACTGCTCCCGAAAGGATTCCTATGTTAAAAAGTAAATCCTAAACCACAACCCGATAATTCCAATAAACCAATTGTTGAATCAATTGGGACCTGTAATAATTTTTAGCAGAGAAAAAGAAGTGGTTTTCGAAAACATTTTCACCCAAGAAAATGACTCTCGTTTAAAAAACCATTTCTCTTATAAAAGCTTTCGTTTTTTCGAAATGTAATCACTAGAAGTGCTACTGATAATAACGATCCACATAAAAGGGCTGCATAGCCCAATATCATCATACTTACGTGCATTATTAACCACCTCCAGATTGAAGAGCCGGTACTAATATTCCAGATTGGTGTATTTCAGTTAAAATAATTGAAGTAGCAAAGCCTTGGGTAAAATAGCACTTGGCCCAGTTATCACTTAAAATTAAAACATTTTTTTGAAATACGGAATTATATGAATAAGGGAGAAACTCCATGAAAGGAAAATTAATGATTCATATAAATCGCTTAGTGGGAAATGTCCCGACGAAATCCAACGAGTAACTGGCCAATCCTGTTATACAGAAAAAGCAACTATTATGCCCTTTCTGACGAATCGTATAGTTTTACGATTTCATCGCCTAAAAAGGTTATCAAATGAATTGTAATTACAATTGAAACGATCGAAAAGGAAATGTGAGTTAATATATGCTCTAAGGTTGAAAATATCATAAAAAATCTTAAAAAGAAGAGTCCCTTAATTATATAATTCGAAAATGGAAATCGGGAATTGAATTCATTATAAGATCTATTTATCCTTTTTAGAAGACGGTTTGCCGCCACTGACTCGAACCGATGTACCAGCACTGCTTCCTAAGAGCAGCGTGTCTACCAATTTCACCATAGCGGCCTGTCTTGAACTCAAGCAATAGCCTATCAATAAGCAATCGTCGAGATTGAGTAAGCTATTTTAGTTTAGGTAATGATTCAAATGGATCAATAACAATAAAAGCTTGTTCAAATAGGAATTTGAGGTTGAAGGTTCATTATTTTCGATTTGAGTTTAGAGTCTTATTTTTTATTTTCTAACCTGCAACTTTCCTATATTTTATGCTTTCCTCGAATTGAACCTTTTGTAACTAAACTGTTCTAGACTCACATGGAACAGAGTTGAAAAATGTTTTAGTTTTCATTGTTTAATCAGCTATTTCCTATTTATTTTTTTCATAAAATTTAAAATTCAAAAGGGGATTTTGAAGACAAAATATAAAGAAAAGCACCTATTTTGCATCGCTCAAAATTGACAATTAGTCATACAATACATAATTTCCTTAAGCAATTTTCTATTGGGCTAAGGGCAAGATATACATGGGGGTCTATATAATAATTCAGAGAAAATAAAAAGTTAGAAAGTTAGACAAAACAAAAAGGTTTCAAAATAGAATCAATTAGGTTCAATGAGTTCTTAACTTTCACTAAAGATTTTTATATACGTTCTTCATGGAAATAGAATGGAAATATAGAATTTTTTTTTTTATTTTAATTGAATTTGAAATAGGTCGATGGGGAAAATAAAACTCTCTACCTGGAATAGAAATGATCTTTTATTCCTTTTGTCAACAAAAAGTTATTATTCAGTAAATAGTAAATAGAGGATTTCCTAATTCTATTATTTTCTATATCAATCAGAAAAGCGAATAGAGTTCCATTACGTATTGATTGGTGAGCGAATCAATATCAAATATGAAAGGTAAACGTTAAATTATTCAATTATTATCTAATTGAATAATTTTTTAATTAAGGTTGATTCAAATTATTCTAACCTTTTATTACTTATTTATTTTTGCTTCATGTACAAAACTTTTTGAATTCCTGGTAGAAAGAGATTTCGCTAACGAAAAGCCTTTTAATGCTTCCCAATATCCCTTCCCTTTCCAAATATTTTTACGAATACGCTTTTTGATGTCGAAGTGCGTTTTTTTGGAACTGCCATTTTCTAGAAATTAAAATTACTCATTGTTATAACTGATGAAAGACATCTATTGTTCAAATGAATTCTTTTTACTACTATTTATTTTCGAGCTAATAGTGTCCTCCTCAAATAAAACATTATCGATATAGGAAAAGATATGTGAAAATTGCATAACACTGGAAATAAAAAAAGAATGCCATTATGTGTTTTTTCAAGTTTTTGTATTCAAGAAAACATTCATAATCGTAAAAAAGAGAAAGGTTCTCTATTGACTGGTATCGTTATTTCACATTCTTGATTCAAAAAAATCTATACCTATAGAATTTGCTAATCGGCTGTTCTGTATAAATGACGAAATGAAATTAGTTGAACTTAATCAAAATCAAAAATAAAATAAAGAATCCAAAAAGACTCGATTTCTATTTGATTTCTATTTACGGTTCCACATTTCATTTACATCCAATAAAATACCTCGAAAGGCTTAGTTAAGAACCGCATTTTTACTTCAGGAAATTAAAAACTTGAATCCCGTTCGATTCACTGTCAAACTTGAGAAAAAAATAGGCCTATTTCAAAGGAGACTAGTAACTAATCCTTTCATATGATTTGACCAATTGTAACTTCTTAATTTCATAGCTGAAGTATTTAGCAAAGCATTCAGAATAAGTAAGAATAGAAAATTCGATTTAAGTTTAAATTAGTTTGCTAGTCCATATTTTGACTTTTTATTGACTCTCTTAAAAGAGGTAACATCCGGTGAATCGGAAACAACAATTAAGAATTCAAAACTTTTTATGGAACAGACATATGAATATGCAGGATCATACCTTTCTATTCCACTCCAGTCCCTATGTTAATAGGGGGCGGGACTTATTCTTATTCCAACGGCAACAAAAAGTTTTCGCTGTATGTGGGCTTTTCAGAGTGTTTTATTGTTAAGCATAGTCATGATATTTTTTCAATCTACCTGTCTATTCAGCAAATAAATAGCAGCTCCTTTTTATCAATATGTATGGTCTTGGATCATCAATAATGATTTTTCTTTAGACTTCGGATACTTGATTGACCCACTTACTTATTATGTCAATATTAATCACTACCGTTGGAATTATGGTTCTTATTTATAGTGATAATTATATGGCTCATGATCAAAGTGCTATTTGAGAGATTTTTTGTTTATATGAGTTTTTTCAGTACTTCCATGTTGGGATTAGTTACTAGTTCGAATTTGATACAAATTTATATTTTTGGGAATTGGTTGGGTTGTGTTCCTATCTATTAATAGGATTTTGGTTTACACGACCTGTTGAGGCAAATGCTTGTCAAAAGTTGCTTGTAACTAATCGTGTAGGGGATTTTGGTTTAGTATTAGGGAATTTTAGGTTTTTATTGATAACGGGAACTTTCGAATTTAGGGATTTATTCGAAATATTCATAACTTGGTTTATAATAATGAGGTCAACTTTTTATTTGTTACTTTATGCGCTGTTCTCTTATTTGCCGGTGCAGTTGTTAAATCCGCCCAATTCCCTTCATGTATGGTTACCTGATGCCATGGAGGGACCCACTATTTCGGCTCTTATACATGCTGCTACTATGGTAGCGGCGGAATTTTTCAGCCCGGCTTCTTCCTTTTCAGAGTTATAACTACATAATGTATTTGATCTCGGTTATAGGAATAATAACAGTATTATTAGAGTTACTTTAGCGCTTGCTCAAAAGACATTAAGAGAGCTTTAGCTATTCCACAATGTCTCAATTGGGTTACTAGATGTTAGCTCTAGGTATGGGGTCTTATCGAAGCGCTTTATTTCATTTGGATTACTCATGCTTATTCCAAAGCATTATTATTATTTATAGGATCCGGATCCATTATTCATTCAATGGAAACTATTGTTGGATATTCTCCAGCTAAAAGCCAGAATATGGGTCTTATGGAGGTTTAAGAAAACATGTCCCAATTACCAAGAGCACGTTTTTATTAGGTACACTTTCTGTGGTATTCCCACCTCTTGCTTGTTTTTGGTCCAAGGATGAAATTCTTAATGATATTATTGTATTCGCCACTTCGCAATAATAGCTTGGGCCACGGCGGGATTAACTGCATTTTATATGTTTCGATCTATTTACTTACTTTTGAAGGGCATTTAAACGTTCATTTTCAAAATTATGGTGGAAAACACAAAACCCCTTTCTATTCAATATCTCTGTTGGGGTAAAAACGGAGTTAAGAAAACTCTTGTTTATTAACAATGAATAATAATGAAAGTACTTATTGTTTTTCAAAACTAAATATCCAATTGATAAAAAATGGAAGAAAGATGACACGACCTTTTATGATTCTTGCTCATTTTGAGCATAAAGCGGTTTATTCCTATCCCCTTATGAATCGGACAATACTATGCTATTCCCAATATTTGTATTAGGACTCTTTACTTTGTTTGTTGGATCTATAGGAATTCTTTTCAACCAAGAGAGAATTTGATATATTATCGAAATGGTTAGCTCCATCTATAAATCTTTTGCATCAAAAGTCGAATAATTCGATGGATTGGAATGAATTTTTAAAGGATGCAGTTCTTTCAGTCAGTATAGCTTATTTCGGAATATTTATAGCATCCTTTTATATGCTAAACCTGTTTATTCTTCTTTCAAAAATTTTGAGTTAATTAATTCTTTTGTTAAAAGGGTCCTAAGAGAATTCTGTGGGACAAAATTATAAATGGCATATATGATTGGTCATATAATCGGGCTTACATAGATGCTTTTATACAAGATTCTTAGTTGGTGGGATAAGAGGATTAGCTGAATTTACTCATTTTTTGATCGACGAGTAATTGATGGGATGACTAACGGCTAGTTATTAGTTTCATTGTAGAGAGAAGGTATTAAAATATATAGGGCGGGCGCATTCTTATCTTTTCTTGTATTTGACTTATGTTTCCGTCTTTTATTAGTTTATTACTTATTCTTTTCGACTTTTTGAATCGAATTTTTTATTTTCATTTGTTTTCTCAAGCAGTTGCAATTTTAAATTTTCTGGATTCCTTGTGTTATTGATTATTCAGATAAGAATCCTCATAATCATAAATTGACTATTACTAGTATTAATATTGTTATAGCCTGCTCCTGTAAGGTGAGAGGGAATTTATCCTTATTTTGTCCTTCCATTCACTCGGGATTTCTCCGTTTCATCGATTTTTTCCGGATCCCACCCTTCTTCCGAAAAAAGGAAGGATAAGGATCTTCTTCAGTGGATCCCTCTTTTGTTCCTGTTTAGTCCCCTTCATTTCGGAAGCAGTTTCTATTTCACATCTCTCTTCTTCTGTTTTTGAGGCTTCTTTCAGTTTCTTAGTAAGAATAGGTGAGGGTATTCTGCCTAAATAGTAGACACAGGTAATAAATAAGAGAATACTAAAGATCCGAGCCACAGAATTTCACCCTAACACAGCAGTAATTTATTAGATCGACTGTACTTATTCGATCTAATAGAATGATTTTGCCGTATCCAGACTAATACCAATCCAAGACATTTCATGAATAAAAATGGGACTAATTAACCAACCAACAAAACCACTTGTTACAAATAAGACTTTGTTGTTGCATCGAAAGAGATAACTGTTGACTAATCTGGCTAACATTGAACTTGGTAAATTGAAATGGTTGAATAATTGAAAATGAGATTATTCAAGAATACACATGGAATGCTGAGATTACGTAATGGAATTTCTGGTAGTAGATCCATAATCAAAAAAGTGCTGATTGGTCCCGAAGAAATGAAACAAAAGATATGGTAGAGCTAGTACATTTATTGGGGCGAGGCTCACTCCAATGCTAGATGCAGAGGCGCATAATAGATCGATATGAACATCGCGAGTTGTCCCGTAATAAAACCAGTTGTTGCTGATAATTTTCTTCTCGGTTCCTTCTTCCATAAC